AAAACAGGTCCACCTTAGGCTGTTCAAAACTAAAATTCAAATCAAGTAGTTTAAAAAACCCAAACCAACCAACAAACAAAACAACAACAACAACAACAAAAACACAACCAAGGAAACCAAACAGCACCACCAGCTCCACCACAAAACCAAGAAAGGTGTTGCAGTATCCTGAATATAAGGGAAATAACTTGATAGCTATTGAGCAAGTTAGTAGGGATTGATTATGGTCAGAATAGCTGAACAAAATGTTTCTGATCAGTTTTTTTAAATTAATAACAACAAAGTGAGGAAGTGGTATAAATAAATTCTAAAAATATTCCCTCACTTATTTTAACAAATAAAAACCAGCTGCTTAATTGTGAGAGCCAGAGGAGTCAATTCTCTGTCTCCCCAGAGATTTCTCAAGCAAATAGATGTCACAGCTACTAAACTTCTGATGTGTTTTGGTCCTGTCTCCCATGGGTTTCCATGGAATTAGGCTCTATTCCATGCTTGTTATCATTATGTTGACAAGGTTTGGATCACTCAGTTACAGCTGGATTATATGTAACAATGGTTTGTTGTTGGGACTTTTTTTTTCCTGTTTAAACTGAGCAGTAGTAGTACAGGAAGGGGTTTCTGAAATGACAGAAAAGTTCTTATTCGAAAGCCCTTTGCGCTTTCTTTCTCCTTCACAAAACAAACATCTTAATGCAGTCCTGTATGCAAGTAGTTCACTGGGAATATCCCCAAAATAAAATGCCCTGACACTAGCATATACTCACATGAGGACACTGGGAAACATTAGTAGATCATAAGGCAATTTAAAAAAAAACTGAAAAATTAGTGCTGCCTTCACAAGTTTATGATCAATTTTAGTTGTGATTGGAAGAGCAGTGCACACAACTCTGAACTTGGGCAAAGCCTTGCTAGTGTGTGCTGAGAGAGTCCCTTCACATAAAAAAAAAAAAAAAAGAAAAAACCCAGTTACTTAATGATTTCTAGTTCTTGACAAGGAAGCAAAATGAAAAGAAGCTGTCCCACAGAAGTGTTAACAACTGTATTAAGATGCGTTTGCCTTTCCCCTTCTTGTTGGCAGGTGCCACTGTGAGCCCATACAGGGAACTGAATCAACTTGTTTGTCACAGAAACTTGTAGTGGTGCAACAGGTGGGAAGAGGAGAGCAGGCAAGAATGAGCAGTTGGGTGGGGAGAAAGCAGAAGTACTTATTTTTTCTCAAGAATTAAAGAAAGTAATTTTTTCCCATGCTAATCTTTGTCTCCAGGTCGTTTTCCCATGTCAGAAGGCCCACAACATGCACCTAAGTGTTCAGTGACAGCGTTGGAAGTTCTGGTCCTTCATATCTCTGCTTGCTTTTCCTGTAGTAGTAAAGGAAACCCTTCTCCCATAGCACAACCACGGTTTTGTCTGTTACATATGTGTATGCAGCGGTGGTGCACAGCCATGTTTTCATTTATGAGATGTTTTCCCTCCAGATTAAACAAAAATCATGTCTAAATGACATGCTTTTCTTACAACATACAAATCACTAGAAAACCACAGAAATAGAAAAAGCAAAGCATATAAAAAAATCCCCTAGTGATTGTATTTGCAGCTGCTGGTATTCAGTAAGGGGACCAGCATGTACTAATGTTTTAGGTATATACATTTATACTTCAAATTTCTGAGAGAACTCTACAGGGTGAGGTCCTTAACTGGAGGATTTGTTTGGTGATGAGATTTGCCTTTTATTCTATAATGAAACTGCTAATTCATAAAACCAGAGGAGACACAACAAACAAAGAAATTCTAGGATATTCTGCTGAAAACTTGGAAAAATTGTGTTCCTTTTTGAATTGAAAGACAGCGGAGACTGGAGTTGGTTATACACAGTACAGTTACTTCTCTTAATCCTTACTATACAATTAATTGATTACTGAACTGATCTGAGTGCCAAATAGTTTGTGTTATAATCAGCTGCAATTTTCACCAATGTAGGTTGTTTTTTTAATGTAAGAACAGAGGCTTGCTGCAGTACCATAAAGCTGGGTTTTATTTAATGCATTGATGAGGAAAAAAAATACATACTGCAAGTAGAAGGTAATTTACAAAGTTATACAAACTGGATGAGAAGTTTAAGTAGCAGTAAGTCTCACACTCAAATGAGGAGGATGAATTTTGTCATTTGCAAGGTGAGGAGGGACTATACACAGTGCCCTCACTTTCCCCAAACACTGCTAGTTGTGGAGTCTGCTTAATAATTAACCTACCAATATGCCTCACACTTTAAAATTGATTTTTCATTTGCATGAGACTGACATATAGCTTCTCCTCTTCAGGAGACAGATGAATAACTACACACTAGAGACGGTGCCATTAAATACTTTGTGGACTGGTGATGAAGTTTAGTAAGCTGCAGAGGTAAAGTTTGAAAAGCAGTAGAGAAACTGAAATGGACACAAACTTCCAGTTAAGTTTGTCATATTTGCATTAAAAAAGGACATAATTATTTAGAAACAGATTCCAAGCTGAAGACATGAGTTTATTGAATGTCTGAGAGATTTACATTTAAATACAGTTAAAAAAACCCCAAAGAACTAAACCCAAACCACGAACACATCCCGAACAAGTTTACTATATGAGTCTCCAGTATGTTTATAACGCTTTACAAAAAAGAAAATACTACATCTAAATATGAAGGTTATGTTCCACTTAAAATATGCACAATTAGAGAATAACTTCATAAAGAGTTGTAACTCAGAACAATAAATTAGTAGGATACAGTTTTATTAAAAGCTCCATTTCCATGTAAACTTCCCTCGTATTTAAAAGATCTGCTCAGGCAAGAAAATAATTGGTTTCTAGTAAACAAAATACCTAATCTCCAGCAGTTAGTTGTCTCTTAACATAGAGTACAAATCTGGGCCAGGGAAATTCCCTTAAGAATTATGTAAGTAGCTGTACAAGGTCTTCTAAAGTCTGTTTTCCTCAAACTATGCCTAGTAAACTTAAGTAAGCTACCATCTAACTACTACTGGCTTTAATAGATTTATCAACAAGTTTAGCAAGAGAGTACTGAAAGCAGCTAATTTACTCAAATTTCATGCATCTTTTGGCTTGCAGAAGGATGTTTTTGGTACAAACTAGTTATGTAACAGGAAAGGGAACTATTGCGTTCTGAGAGATAGTTGTATACTAGCCGTTATGTAGTTTCTGTTTAAAATTCCTGTGGAGGACAGAAATGGATAATACCACACTTCTATTACCAGCAGCTAAAACACAATCTTTGTATTAATTCTTTTACCTATTAAAACACTTTAAAGATATTATAATTAACAGTAGGAAATAAAAGTATTTAAGTACCGTAACTGAGAGAGAGCTCATATTCAAGAACAGCACTCAAGCTTTGCAATCTGAAGTTTCCTTAAAAAACAAGTACAAAATAGTTAAGTAATTCTACTATGAATTTATGGAAAACAAAGCCCGCTTTTCCCAATTTAACCTATTAAACATGGCCTACTTATACTTGAATAAAAGGGTGTCAAACATGACTCTGAGCAGAATTTGAAGCATTCAGAGCTTTCAAAAATGGTCATGCTATTTGTATTTTTATGTAGTCCAAGCCTTACTGATAAACAATGCAACTAATCATAACAAAATTAAGGTCATTTGCAGTTTACAATTAAATACAGTAGAGCAAAGCCTGAATTAGAACTGTGTCACCTAACACATCTCTTTAAAAATGGATTCTTTCATAAATTTCAGTCAGAATTTTAAGAGATCTTTCATCTTCCTTGCCTGCCAGGCAAATTACTATTTGTGCAAAGTTAAATACAGTACATTGACCTTAATATAACAGTGGACAGAGAGTGAAGGAAGAGGTGTTCAACAGGTGTGTTGCACAGTAAGACTGTTTCAGAGTGCAGAGTACATCTACAATAAAGTGCTTCTCTTAATAAGTTATATTGATAATAGTATAGATGTTTACCTAGTTTTAAAGCTTAAGTTGCTTAGTGAATAGTTTATTCTCCCTGTACCTCCCCAGTCCTACAAGGCACATTCAAAACACAAGCAAAGCACTAACTAACTGAAGGAATAAGCTAAAATGGAAAGTTCTAAGTGGTAGTAAACTACTGACTAGGTCTGTAAACAGTACCATCCCATTGAATCCCACGGTTCATGCATTATTGAAGTGAGTTTCTGTGGAAGCAGCTTTTGAACTCCAGATTTAACAAGCAAGCCAGCTTTCTTGATAATACACTACTGTGCCTTAGTGTTTGGATGTGGAATCCCACTTCTTTTGTCACTTGCACAAAAACAGATGCCACGCTGATGCATTGAAGCCTCTAGACTTCATTTACAGTTAACACAATTGATTACTGGCTGGCTTAGATCTATTTAGTTTGTGGGGTTTTTTAAATGCATGCAAAGTTCACATCTACTGTTCAACCCTGGAACGAAGTTATGCTTAGTACTCTTAAGAGAAGGTTTTGGTTATGTTAAAACATAGCTGGGCTGCTTTGTGGAAGCCTTAATTTTGACTTGATAATAATTGTGACTTGATAGAAGTAATTAGCTTCTGTAAGACTAAAGTGACAGGTAGGATCAAATTGAGTAATTAATTTCTTCAGGTTTGTTTAAGACCAACTTTCAGAAGCTTCTTTCAGAAAAGAAGTTAAAAACAAAGTGGCGATCTCTTGTATAAAATACTGAGATGGGACTCACTTCATCATGCTTGCAAAAACATTTCATACAACTTAAAAAGCAAGTAATTCCACTAACATCATGTAGAGCTTGCAAAAACAGTCCAAGTGCTCACACAAGGTATACATAGCTGAACTTTGCCTTCATACCACAGAAGAGGAAGCTCTTTGAGCAAAAGGCATTCCATTTCTTTTTTTTTTTTTTTTTAAAAAAAAAAATCACATTGAGTTTATTTTGGCTTTCACAACTTTTGCAACAGAGCAAACAAAACCAGAAGCATCAACACCAGAGCTCCAAGTTTTCCTCGTCATTCTAGTCTAACGCTTTATCACCACCTGCTCATATGCTCCAGATGCTGCTCTGAAAGAATGTTTGGAAAGAAGTTAGTTCAATTCCAATTCAAATGGAAGCTAAACAGCAAGTATCACAGATCAGCAAGTTTATCGTTTAAACAAAACCCAACCAACCAACCCCCGCCCAAAAAACCCCCAGCAAAAGTCCCCCAGCTGAACAGCTGGTACCAGAACAGCTAAACGTGAAGGGTGGAAAACAGGCGTACTGACCGCGCCACTGAGTAACCTACAGTTTAATGCATTAAAGCGTTTTGTGTTATGCTACAGTCAAAATGAAGAATGAAAAATAATGTCACTGAAAGTTACTGTTGGACTTCTCTATAGTTCCTTAAACATTACCTTTTGGGTACCTCTCCCACCCCAGCTAGATCGTATGCAGCTAATACTTTTTGTATACATTTATACATAAACAGTAAGTGATAGTCTTCCTACATTAAGGTACAAGAAAAACATCTTCCAGTCTTTTGTTCCCACTGAATTGTAAACAAAACTGTCTCACCTCCCACATGACAGAGCATACTGGTTTGTTTTACATGGCAAATTGCACTACTGGGTACAAAATGAATCAGGCAAGCTGTGCCTTAGTATAATATTCTGCCTGGACCGTTGTGGCAAGTGAACGGGACAGGTATCTATGTACTACTGTAGTGTGCTCTGTAAGCGTACATGTTTTCCTAGGTAGAAATAGGATTATTTTTTTATTTTTCCTAGATAGAAATAGCGTGCCCAGTTTGCAAATAAGCCAATGAATTATCTTTTAACCGTCAGTATTGCTTGCTTGTGTAAAATGCGTTTATTTTATAACTTTTAACACATTATCAGCTGCCTTTATACCTAATTCCAGAAGTACTTGCTGAAATTCTGATGCCACGCTAATTTCTTGAGATAAAGCAAAATCTAAAGAGTTACACTGGACTGCAGAATCATGGCATTAGAGAAACACAAAAAATCTTTCTGGTTCTAAAATAACTACAAGAAGATCATCAAAGGAGAGAGTTTAGGGCTACAAATAGTTGAAAGATGAACAAGCCATTGAAACAGGAATAGTGTAGCGTATGGGAACAGAAGGAACTGTGAGCAAAACTAAAGTGAAGAAAATTAGCTTTGTTATCATGCAGACATAAAAGTTTGATACTGTAAAGTTAAACGTGTAAAACACTTAAGACTTTCTTCCAGCTCCAGAGAGTAATGTAGTGAGTCTGTAGAGCTATGATTTCAAACTGGTGCCTGTTTCCTGTGTCCATACTGAAATGTTGCTCATATCTGAAAACTTTGGAACTGAGACCCTCTGAAAGTTACAATTCTTATGGCTGACACATCGGTTCCATTTTGGAACTAACCTATGTGTTTTGTTTTAAAACCCCACAACCTGGTTCTTTTGGTGCTTTTAAATAATACGAACTAGAAAGATACAAAGATCAAGAATGTATGTACAGAATAATTGCTGTATAAATGCGTTTTTGTTTAGTATTACCTATGGATTAGTTCTTCAGATTACGTACCTGTTGGGTAGATGATGGCTTCCAAAAGAAGTGCTTCCACCAGGGCCCACAAATAATCTTAAACCTTCTTCTAAAAAGCAAGGGAATTAACATATGTTAGCTTTCTTTAATGTTGCCCTAGCTAAAATTAAGTCATTTTAAATCTACCAGTTTTGTAACTGATACTTCCAGATGCAAATGTTTTAAGTAATGAAGAACCAACTTCACATGGTGTAGACTGGAGGAACTACTCTCATTGTAGATTTGCCCCTCCTCTTTTCTTCTCAGGCTTAAAGTATTTCTCTGGGAAAGTCACCCGAGTCATGCAAGGGTCTTTTCAACTTCTGGGAGACAGGATGAAGCAGAAAACGTAATGATCCATATGCACAGTCCTTACGATTACAAGCAACAGGGACTATGAAGAAAGTGGATTTTCCTAAGGCCTGTAATATGCATCAATTTTCCTTAAGCTTCCTTATTATCTCCATACCTTCTGCACTTGAGTCTAAACTGAAGTCTTGACTCTGGAGTATTTTGTCAACTATATCATCAGCATCAACTCTGGTAGCATCGACCCTCTTCAGCTGTGACTCCACAGAGTCTTGCTTTACAGGATGTCTGCAAAAATAAATATATTTAGAGCACTTAGAAATGATGCGGTAAATTACGTGTTACTTCTGCTAGGTAAAGCTTTCAAGTTAAGTGTACCTGCAGGGTTTTTCTGATGGTGCATCTTTAACAGGTGTATCAATATTAGCTTCAGTTACTTTTGGCTCAGTCTCTTCACATGGCTCTAGAACACTTCCAATTCCTGTTGAGGCGCTACCCACCGAGGCGTTTCTTCTGTGGCAGAGTTCGGACAGACTGGAGGATCTGGAGTGGCATGTGCTGTATCCTGTTGGGGAAGTGCAGGAGAGCTCCGATAGGTATGCTCTGGACAGCCAAGGTCATTACTTACATTTTACCATCCTGAAGGCAAAATTTGTGTTTTGGCTGCTTACAAAGAGCCTTCAAACGCCTTATGAATGTATGTGCACACCCCAGCTAGGCAATTCCCTTTGGGGTTTATATTCTAGCACATGCTGGTTTCGTTTTGTTCTAAATTACTCTTGCTTCCTAACAAATACAATGACTTGATGTCATTATTTCCCCTTCAGCTCTCAGAGCTAAGTCTCCATCTGCAAGTTATTTGTTTTCACACATGGAAGAGGTGAAAATCTCATTCAGGTATGTTAATAGGAGGGAGCTAAGGGAAAAAGCTGTCTCATGTCTGAACAGATAATTCATTGTGCTTTTAAGAGGAAAGAAATGTTACCCTCCCCACACCTGAAACTCCTAGGAAAAAAGCTTTCAGCTTCACACCATTTTTTCAAACATATACAGTATACTTATTTTCTACAGTCTAAAACTGTGTAAGTAAATAAACCCCAACAACTCGTCACAAAATTGTTAACAGCTACCTGACAGTTTTGACTGCTGACTTGCATAGCTTGATGTCCTGGAATGTCCACATGCACCAAGTTCATCTGGGACTGAGGCACTCTTTGAGGAGACATCTGCAACACACGCAAGTCAGACACTGTGGCTAAAGCCAGCCTTGTTATTACTTTGACTGTAATCTTGATTAGACTCAAATGTCAGATTTCCCAGAGGGATTAGGGACTTGACACTGGTTTTCTTCAAACCCTTTGAAGATTCAAATGCTGCAAAAATACAGCGTACGTTAACAAGTATGCATTCCTTGGAAAAAAAAAATCATAATACGTTTCTGAGTAAAACAGAGAGTACCATTGGGTTAGAAAGATTTGTATCAAGTGTAGTTCTGGATTTGTCTACACTGTAGACATTAAAGAGATTACCATGCTTTCCGTAGTACCACAGTAGAATGGTGTGCTAGGTGTTTTCTGGCTGAAAAAGTAACTGGTTAACAGAATTTAAGCTGTGTTTAGGGTGGAAACTAATAAGCTATGTAAGAGCCTGAAGCTTGTAAAAAAAAAACAAAAAAACAAAAAAACAAAAACCCACGAAAAACACCCACCACCACCCCCAAGTTTCAACCTGTATTAAAGTGTTTTAATAGTTTCTAATAGTCTAAATTTCAGAGTAACTACTTCAATTTAAAACAATACTTACAACTTTTACCACTCAAAATTTACTCAGTTGTGCATATCCATACGATTCATAAGTTGAAAATCAAGGCCCAAATTAAATGCTCAGTCAAAATACAAATCCAAAGGAAATCAAGCAATGTGTCACACAGAAAATGGAAGATTTTAAATCTTAAAAAGGCAACCGGCTACCAGTCCAATTTCTGTTCTTTGTTTCCATTAAATAAACTGTTACAAAAGTGAAAAAGAGAGATTCCACTGATGTTATCTAGGAGACTTTGTCTCAACACATAACCAAAGTAGTCCCTTTGTGGGCCAACTGTCAGCATCCCTTCAAGATTTGAAGTATTTCGTACATCTCCTTGAAGCTATGAAGCCAGTTATAATAGAACTAAGAAATTAAGAGCGTTATTTTATACCTGCTATGCCCAGATGTGCTACTTTTAAATTTTCTCCACCTTTCCTGTCTTCATGCAAAGATTCCGATTCTCCAGCAATTGCTATAGACATTGCTGTGGAAGGAGGCCTGCAAGAAAAAGGTGGTTAAGGTTTGCTGGAATCCCTCCAAGTTGATCAGCACAGATTTTCCTTTTCAAGTAAGTTGGCATAATTCATAGTGTACTTCAAGTTAATAGGCTTGTAATTTCTTCCTGAAAACATGCTGCCTAGCCCCCTGTTAAAAAGGGAAAAAAACAACAAAAGCTTTTGCTATTGAGCTTAGGGACATTGTACAGAATCCATCTGCTCAGCCCTCAGTCCTTCAGACTTCTGGGGATCTTTGGAAAGGCTTTTCCTTATTGATGATTTGGTAGAGCGATACGTGTCTGTTTTGAACTTCTTTGGTTTTTAAGTGTATGAATCAGAGGATAATGTATGTGCTAAGAATGTATCTAATTCAGTACTTCATAGAACACATGGCAAGATGGTAAGTTACAAAAACCCAAACCCGCACACTGACAGTTGGCCTACTTGGCTTGTGCACGGTGATGTACTCCTGGCTCGCTTTCATCTCCGCTACAGCGCATGAGGAGATTCTGGGCTGATAACCCTCCCACTCCTAACAAAGGGGCCTGTGTTACCGTCTCCATGTATTCCCCTCTAAATTCTACCTCCTGCAAAATAAAAAAAAGCATCATGTATGACATAATTTAAATCTGGTTCAGTATTAAAAAAGCTTTTATTAAAGCTTAAATGCTTGTTTCAGACTATACCAAGATCCAAAGGGATATTCTATTAAAATGAATAAATCTCTAAGTTTGTGTTTTTCTAGTGCAAAAGAAGCTAATTAGAAAATGACAAAGTGAAAGTAATCTTCTCTTGCAAGCAAATACAACTAAAATACATTTCAAGATGTTACCTAGAGTTTTTTTAATGCTTTGTTATTTTTCACTTTGGGAACAGACTGTAGGTCTGCATACGAATGGATATTTGTTGACATTTTTAGATTTGGCATATTCAATAGATTAGTCACTATGTTCAGTAACATATCCCCTCTTATGTTAACGTTTGAAAGTAGAGAGAAAGAGAGAAAGCACTTCTAGAAATACAATGCTTGTGTGACTTAACTGCTTAACGTACTTTTGAAAGCAAGAACTGAATGCTTTCAGGGATGTCACCCCAGATCAAACATCAAGCCTTTAGGCTTCTTCATAACATACGTAGCAGATTCCAGATTGTGAAATGGTTTTAAGGTTTATTTTTCCTTCTACAGAGGACATCTGGATTAGATAAATTTTTTGTTCTGTTTGTGTTGAAAGTTTACGTTCCAGAAAACAGTTATATCATCAGTTTGGAAGAAAATGCCAAGTCTGAATAATTTCAGTTACAAATTTTTTCCTAGGGAGCCAGAAAACTATTTAGGTACTAATTTCAGCTCCTTTGGTACAGCCAGTAAAGAACAAAAATACATTGTTTTATTAGTATGCAACACTTTGAGAAACTGTTAATCAGTACCAGTGATGTATTTTTTTAATACATCTGAGTCAAAAGTAAACCAAGACGTGCTAAATAACTAGGGATACAGAAAAGCTTTGCCCAACCAAACAAATTCAGATAATACCCTCCTACTATTTATTCAGTAAGCACAAGATGAGATTTTGCAGTGTTCTATTCTTCTTATTGAAGGTTAGAAGAAGAGAGGAGAAAGGGCCTTTGGTGGTGCCAGGGGACACGGAGGAGTTCCTGTGGTGAATCATCTGAGCTAGACTGGTGTAGGCAACATTCTCGGATCTCCGCAGAACCAATGGTAAGGATACAGCCACAGCAGTAATGCATAAAGTCTCTAGCTGCCACAGAAAACAGTTCTTGATTGTCCTAATTATACTAGAACCTACCTCAAACCAGCTAGAACCTACAAATCACGAGTTACTTCATACTTGTACCTCAGACCGAGTTAGGAGATCAGTGCTGCTTTTCTTGGAGCTGCAGCCTCATTTCACTTCAAACGCAATCTTTTTTACTTAAGGAAGACTTCAGTATATGTTTACTGCTACAGATTAAGTCTGTTTGAGGTTATTATCCCTCTTCATTGGATTATTCAGAGGGACACTGATTGCCTACATTAATCTGATACAAGATGAGTTTCAATTCAGTTTCTGAGAGTATTTTGAATAAAAAACCTAATCCATACTGACGTAAAAAGTGTTGTGGCGTAACAGTTTGTAAGTAAGCATTGTGTCTTTACAATGGAAGGTATCTTTGATCCAACGTAAGGTCTGAAAGTATAAATGGAAGTTGAGAGTTCTGTACAAAGAATTATGATTGACGTAACAAGGGTGAAGCTAGCAATATTTTACAGATTGTTTTTCCTTGAGCTCATTTTTTTCTTTTCAAGTTATACCTAATACTTGGAAAACTGTCTTAGATGGTTTTTGAAAGGGCCAACATGAGAGCAAGCATGTTGTCTCAGACCAAAGGTCTGTCTAGCCTTGCATGCTGTTTCTGTCAGTGGCAAACAGCAGATGCTGACAGAACATGGCGCACGTAGTAATGTATATCTTGAATATTCTTCCAGCATGTCCTCATCTGCAAGTTAGGTATTTCTTAAGCCTCATATGATGTTTTATATGTCATAGTTCTCAATAATTTTTCATTCAGGAATTTGTCTTAATTCTTTCTTGAACTTTTAGTATTCACAACATGTAGTTGCAAGGAGTTCCACAGCTTAACCACATGTTGTGGGAAGAAAATACATCCTCTCACTTTAACTCCATCTCCTACTAGTTTCAGTGTAATAACGTGGTCAGTGAAGTGAACTGAAAAAGAATTTGAGTTAAACTAAAACTTAAGGGATCAAATTTATTTTGAAGGAATTATTTCATCAACCCATCCCCCAAACGTCTTGTGACAAGTAAAATACAACTAAGTTGGTTTAAACCTGATCTAGACAAAATTGCCATCTACTGTTATATAGAATTAGAAAAGATTGACATTAAACTGAAAAGCCCATTCACTTCGAACAACCCAGTCTACCAACCCTCTGAATTGCAGAAAAGCAAGTGGCGTTAAGAATCATGGCAAGTATTGAGGAATCTTCCCCACTGTGTTCATGGAAGCAGATTCTATACATGTGCCTAAGCCTGTCCTTACAATGAATGGCTTTCAGGTTATTATAAATTATCTCTTACGATACAAATGACACGTAAGAGTTCTTCACTTCCTACTGATCAGGATAATTAAGTCATGGTTAGCGAGACAGCGGTGTTCTCTGGAAATAGGAAGCTTGCCAAATGCACTGTTTCAGTTTAGTTATCCACGAAGCTTGGGTGCCTCATAACAAAATGGCTTATTAGTCCAGAAAGAAGGCACCAGTTTCATCTTACTCATGACTAGTTTGTCCCTAGCATGCATGACTTTTCTGTTGCATGGTTAGTGATGGAAGCTAACATGCTCTAGCAAAACTACTACATTTCCTTAACTACAGATTAAGGACAATGAGGCTGAAGGACCCTTAATATATAGCAGTGTGTTTTGCTAGCTACCTCCTCCTCTTGCATCTTCTACTAAGTTGCATAATGTCTTTGCTAACTAAATATCAGTAAGTGCTTTCTCTTGTACTAAATCATATCGCACTTCTGGGTTGTTCTTTTTAAATAAATTTTTTAAATCATTTGAGACTTGTGAATAAAAGGTGTAGCAGCACATTTTCCAAACACAAGCATTAGTCAGATCACTCCATACCAAGTACATTTATATAAGCTTGCTGCAGGAACAGTTTCCCTTAAGAGTTTCTTTGGGTTTTTAATTTTTTTTTTTAATTACAGATATACAGGCTATTATTCATTGCTTGAAAATAAACTAAGTATTTAACAGCAAGGAGAACTATGATATTTCTACTGGTATTTTTACCACGTTAGCCATTATTCAGCTACCACTCCATCTGTTTGTGCCTTTTTGGGTTTTTTTTTTAAATATTGTTGCCAGATTGGAAAGATTTATAAATGCAGATTAGGAGTGTAATTCTGAACATGGAATGTATGACCAAAACACTATCCCACACAGATTTTTTATAAACTCACGTTTTAAAGCATGGGTCACCAGACATTAGCTGCATGTTGATCAAAACCTACACATTAAGAAAACAAAACCCACTGTAAGAAAAAAAAATGGAATTGGTCTGTGATACATGGTCATATCACTAAGTTATACTTGAGACAAATCGTACATTTAGGTAAAATAGCATAATCACATATACAGATAAACTACATCTTTTTTCTTAATACACATGCAAACAACACAAAATAGCATTTAAAGTAATGTAGTTGCATGTACAAGATTCTGCAAAAGATACCTAAATCAAGAAGAATCTCAGAATCATTAATAGTTACAATGGCGTCAAGGGACAAGTAAAGAGACAGGGAATCTAAAAGATCAGTGAGCAAACAGAATAGTGTTTAAAACAGTGGGCGCTGAAGTATGTTCTTTGCTGAGGGTGTTTAGCAAACTGCTAAACATACAAGAACTGGTTGTGCTAACACAGAGATAAAGTAAAACCACAAAAGGTAAATAATGCCATAGGACAACAATGTGTTGAGACAGCTTGTTCGCTGGGTCAAAGCCATCAAGTAAAAGTTTTCTGGAAAAAGCCTGTGATTGTCTTAGAGAAATCAGAAAGCACATGCTTAAACGCTGTACTCAGGAGTAGGAGAAATTAGTCCTAGGGTCTTGGTAGGAAAAGAAATTTTTCAAAAAAATTACTTGCAACATTCTGTATGTAATTGTTTTCAGGTTAATGCAGCTTATGCTATTTTTTAAATTCCCTGGACTAACGTGAGGGAACGGCAGGGTGGGTTTCTTCCAACAATGCTCGCCAGTTGTTACAATTGATTACTATCAAATAGAAGAGGGAAAGTTCCAGGACTCATGGAGGTGTTGATACTGGCTTATACATAAATAAGCCAATTAAGAGATTCACTCTTAGAAAAGCTGCACAGGAAGCTGCTCAGTCTTAAGGATCCAATTGCTACGTTCGTATTGAGTGTATTAACTTTTTCATCATGCTTCCATATTGCATTTTTCAGTTCCTCTTAGAATAGGAATACCTTTTGAAAGGTTTTCTTTTATGGCTGTGCAGCTCCTTTTCAATGAAGAGTGGGACAAGTCTGGTTTTGACTGCATGGTTTTTAATGATTCTCCCTAAACAACGCTGATGTTTTTACTTTAAATAGTTTTCCTTCTAGAAAGCAGTCAGCAAACATCTTTTAAATTTCATTAAGTGCTTAATAATACCACTTGTTCTCAGCTGTATTAGTTTAAGTATGATAAAAGAAACAAATTACTTTGAGAATGGAATTATCCTGTCTTGTATTTTTGGTATCATAACCTTCCAGTAAACAGCGACGAGTGGTATTTCCCGATCCAGCAAACTCTGCTAGATTTAGATCTGCAAATCCCAGCTGTTAAGAGAAAATAACAAAGTTAGTAGTAAGCATATCACCAAGTGAAGGTACTTGCTACTTGCACAGTATTGGGCACCACTCAACGGCAGTTTCTCTCAGATATGAGTAAGAGGATGCCCACTAAAAGGAGTGGTCCGAGGCAAAAAGCAGAAAAACTTTGAGTGTCAATTTCTGCATAGATCTGTCTTCAGTTAAAAATTAAAGTCTCAAGAGAAAAAAGAACAAGGAGAGTTTTCTTTATTTTTAAAAGCAAACACATGCAGAAGGCTTTACTTTTATTGACCCTTTCAAGATACTAAATTGAAAGAAAGAAACATTCTGGTGGTATAATATTACTGTACACTTAGTAAACACACTCATCGAGAGTTCCAACACCACTGTGTGCACATAATGAAATCACGGGTGTTAGAGTACTATTCTGGAATTACTATAAAAGGGCATAAAATAACAAGAAAGAAAAACTAATTCATAGACAAAATTAGATACAGCTCCATTTACCTTTGCATATGCCTTTCCTCCTTTTAACTCCTAGAAAAAAAATTTAAAAAAAGACATGCCATTAAGCCATTAAAGATACTGACTGAGGGGTTTTGGTTTGGTTTGTTTTTTTAGAAAAGCAAATACTAATCTTCATTTTAAAATAGCTCAACACACATTTGCTAGGCTGTACTGTTGTCATTTAGAGCTTAGTATTAATAATGTCCTTGGTGCGGGCCAGGAGGAGACTGTCACCTTGCGGGGGGTGGGGGGTGGTGAGTGGCTGGTGCTGACCGGCATTTGGCTCTCACAGAGCGTAGCCCCAAAGGCAGGAAGTGCTGCTGACAAAATTCTGGTGCTTAGCAGAGTTCAAGGCTTCCAAGTGTACTGCTGCTTGCTAGAAGTATCTATCAAGGGCTAACTTTTTATAAAGGCTGAGGAGCGATTCCTTTGTTGTCTTGCTGAGGTAAGTGTTCTTTTCAGTAAGAACATCAAAACCCATGAATTATTCAAACTAAGGTAATTAATAAGATTACTATGAAATTATGACTAGAATGCCTGACACGGTTGCAGCTAAAATTTGCTTTATGGAGTTTATCAGACATGTAAAAATTAAACCAAAACAAGTGAAGAAAGTGCAGGGAAATAGAGGAGGGAAAAAGAGCTACTTACCTTCCGTACAGATACCCTGCAAATGCAAGTATCCAGAATCCCTGTCGTGGCGCTGGCACTGATTTTACACATAAATAAGAACTTTTTCTTCCAGCGGACGCAGTTTGCCTGTACCACCTCGCTGCAAACAGAGAACATCCGCTCAGTGTCAGGTGCGTACACATGCAGGACCATGAAATGCAGTAGGGCAGCTCAAGAACACACACAGGTTTCACTGTTTGTGGAGCGGTCACTTCACGCAGAATCTGATCCCAGGCCTGTACAATCATCCTTCATTCTTCTCTATGTGTAGCAAGACTAATAACTGTTTCAGACCTTGAACACCATGTTAGACCTACAGAAAAAATCAGCAGCCACGTATTTTTGCAAAGGAACGAGACTGTGATTTCTCCAGTTTGCCTCAGGAGAGTGAAGTCTTCCTGAACACTAGCTCCCAGGCACTGTCTTCCAAGCTGCTGAGCTTTGGGATGTGCTCAAGAGATTGTCTTTGACAAGTAATTTTTCAATACAGAGAAAGGGAGCACCATACCAGCAGAACTAGATAAATCTGAGCCTGGAAAAGTACAAAGGAGATGATGTACAATGACCAGGTACAAAGTAATGCACTCGGGGCAAACAAGAATTTCAGCTACGCTGGGAGCTTGCCATTTGAGAGCAAAATAAGACAACTAATATCTGAACGGATTTGTTCATCGCAAGAGGATTACAACCTGACAACGTGAAGCGGCTGAAAAAAAGGCAAAATGTAGGGTGCTTTCAGCTGTATGAATGTTATTATATAAGGCTCAAATGGAACACATTATTCTGTTTGGGTAACTCTGGCTGGGCAAGAACAGACTCCAAAATGAACAAGTACAGGGAAGACAGCTAGAAAACACCTGTATCTTGTAAGAAAAAAATGACATATAATAAAAACAGAGTAATTCAAATGCTTTAGAGACCAAATATATTTAAGTCAAATGAAAAGTGGTTAGGATCACAATAAGGCATAATCAAACACCCATTTAAAACTGAAAATTACAAGGTCTCAGACCACAGAGCAAGTTTCTAGAACAGCCTTCAAAGAAGTGGGAGCAAAAAAAATCTTACTGTATTTAAAGACAAGGTTGGCCAGTTTGTCACTAACAGGGGACATAAGGACTGGTGATTTTGAGGGACCTGCCTCAATGATCAAGAGCTCTTTTCTAGTCCCATGTTTCTAAACTTAGAACTTGGAACTGTGGAGAAACTGTGCTAATTTCTTCTACTGCTCTAATTGTTCAAGTACAGTGTTCACACATTAAAGCAGTATTTGTCCTTTTCTTTCTCTTCCATTTTTCTAATACGTACATTCGCATCTTTCACATTAACTTCTTACAGCAGCTTATTACTGAAGGCCCAGCTTGACATCTTTAACAGAGGTAGAATTCTGTCCTTCCGCATGAGCTGGAGTCAGAGTTAATCACCTGTGGAGAAACGATGACTCGCAAGGCTCACGCAGAAGCTCTGGTGGGCTGTGCTGGTGAAACTGCCTGTACCGTGCTTACTGGCACCATGACTTCCAAAGGTAGGAATAAACTAGCCTGCCTAAAATGAGTCAGTTCAATGACCACAGCAGGCTAACGGATTCTGATGACACAACAGTGAGTCAGATTGAAGCATGTGATCTAAAAGGAACAGGCTCTGTACACCATGAGCTACCTACCTTTTATCCGTTATGTTCTATGTTGTAAACTTTCCTGTGCTTGCGGAAAAAAAAAAAAAAATCCCAAACTGGCAGTATATGAGCTATTTAAATCCAAAACAGAACCTGAATTCAAAAAAGGCGAACTACTAATAGTTACATCCTCTACTGGAAACAGGCTCAAGCAAGAAGACATCAAGTAAAATACAATCTTAAAGGGATATTTGATAAGTGCTGACATTTGGTACACTCAGAAGGCGTAGGAATAACTTGTAGCACTTATGTGAGAGTTACTTAACTCTCAGGTAAAGAAAATAGTCAACTAGACATCCACTGTCAAGCAGAACACAGGTATTTAAGTGTGTGGGTATCTGGGGTCTGCATATTTGCAGTTTTCGTACACTGTGCTTAAAGACAACCCATCTTCTGAGAATCATAGAATGGTTTGGGTTGGAAGGGACCTTGAAGATCATCTAGTCCAACCCCCTTTTTCTGCAGATCACAGTGGTCCAGTAACATAGAAATTAAATCTCCATATTTTTTTTTTTAAGTTCTTTTTTTTCCCTAAGTAACAATTTGAGCTTATCCTAAAGACGAAAAAATAAGAGACCCCCTTCTCTCAAAAACTCTGTCATCAAAATCAGTTTTACCTTTTCCATGAGCTGCGTAACTACAAATTTTTGCTTCAAATACAGAAGGGATATTTATGTCACTATCTTAAGTCATTAAATTCATTGTAGTACTCTGATCCTTCTGTCAACAGTTCTATCAGGATACACGGAGCATGCTAGAAGCTCTTATGAAACAATACTAATGTCCTCTTGTGAGCACCAGAAGCAACAGGCCTGCACTGACACTGAAAGACAGTAGACTTGCTTGGAGCCTCAACCCTGCTGGCAGTTACCCTAACTTTCAGGAGCTTGTCAGACTAAAAAGACTGAGCAGGAAGGTGAACTGAATGCCGATTAACTGAGTGATATAGTTGGTCAAGATTTTCTTTCACTAAAAACATCACATTTTGGCACGCTGGTAGTATTCCTCCCAGAGAAATCCAAGCACATCGACACACACACACAAAAAAATAATCACAGAATCAGATTTTATATGTTGTTTCAGAACAGCGTAAAGATCTCCGTTTTAACATACCGCTATAATTAAAAAACCTCTACATTAAGAGGATAATTAAAAGTGCTGTCACCTAAACAAAGTGATTGTTGCAGCTGGCTGTCTTTTACTGGACTTCAAAGAGTTACTGGAATTAAGTCTTATCAGAAATATCTAATCAATACTAAAATGCATGCAATTATACAAACCTTTATTAAGTTTCAAGTGGCAAGAATTCTTAACAATCCTTTGATTTAAGCCCTACCTCTAGTCTCAGATCGAGGCACATCAACTGTGGCCGTGAATCCACAGGGAACCTGCATTTGCCCATTACTGTACATCAAATAATACCTGCAAAACGGTCCAGCCTCGAGTGTCCTTTTGGAAATTAGAAGCAATGTAGATTTTTTTGTTATTCATTATAAGGCTAAAAAACAATGCTACAAGACTGCAAGTGTTCAACTTGTCGTCCCTAAACGTCAGAAAATCCTTTCTCGTAGCATCTGCTCATCATACAAGTAGGACAGTTGTCATCACCCTTCCCTTATCACCCAGGATACATTGGGACTACCAGTAACAGAATCACTTCTTCTGTTCACCATCCTTGTAGTAACATCTGTAGTTACATCTGTAACATTTCCAGTTATTAAGTAATAATACCTTTAAAAACCCATTTTTTTCTTTAAATTCATAAGGTCAAGTATGTGCCAAAATCTTTGCACAACTCAGCGTTATGGTTCAGGTTATGTGTCTACCTCCCAGCACAGCTTTCTGTCTCTACAGCAAACTACAGTCAAAGCAGCTTTACATTGTACAGTTATATAGTATTCCAGTATAGTAAAAGATAATTTAGTGAACACATTCAATGTATTTTTGCTTGTAAATACAAGCTACATGTAAGTAACATCTGCTTGAGAAATGCAAGTGTCCTTAAAACCTTTAAGGATTTTGAATTTATTTGAACATACCAATATTCCTATGTACAATGCTATCACTGTTCAAGAAGGAAGATAGCACAAAACCACTGCGCTTTTGGAAGACTCAAATCTACTCATATCACAGGTCAGGATTTATTCAGGCAAATAATTTAATAAACATTAAATAGAACGATCAGGTTTGTAAGTTCTCTTATGAACAAGAAAGTAAAAGTTACAGTAAAAAGGCCTCAGTTATAGATACTGATGTTCTAATTATAAAAATAAAAATCAAGTAAAATCAGGAATACCCCTTCCTCCTCACAAGGACCTAAAAAATTAGTTTCTTTCACTGGCACATTGTTTTAAAAAACAAGATATTTGAAACATTGGTATGCAATCAGCAAAAAAATACCAACCAACTGCCCCCTGCCCCCAAACTGTTCTTCCAATTCCATTACATAAAGAACAATTTGACATATTTTAATGACTGTAATCCTTGTGTAAAGAAAAGCACCAGCAAGTTATTCCCCTTGTGCTGAAAAAACCCCATCAAATAATCAGAACATTTAACTTTAAAGAGTAATATCAAAGTTTACAAGATTCTTAGTTCAAGTGTGAGGCCTTTAGAAAATAAACAGTTATACTGATTGGTTACTATGGAAATGAACCCAGATAACTTCTTGGCAACTGCGCCTGTGCTACAGGGCAGGCTGGAGAAAGCCTTCCGTTATGAGTCAGCTTCCTATGAGCCTCACAGGCACTTTACCACATGCAAAGCAAAACCAGTTGTTTTATGAATCAAAATATGTCTTAGTTACTAAGACACATTCAAACACATACGAGGTTGTAGGGCTTTGGTGTGACTTAACGAATGCTGTCAGTAAGACCTAACCAAGAATAAAATGAATAGACAGATACTTTAAGACAAACTGATTCCAAAGTATAGTTTAAGTTACTATCAGTTTAACAAATTGTTTTTTCTTTAGAGGGACAATTGCACATTGAATAAATTTCAAAGATTTCAGCTGTAGACAAGACTTTTTCTGTATGTATTTCATGTACTGCACACAATTGCCGTTTACGATGATGAATAAGTCTTGGTTTTTCTCGTCTGATCCACAAGAGAAAAATCAACAAGAAAACTAACACGAAAGAAACAACAAATCCTAATCCAGTCAACTCCTCATCCTAATTTGTTAATAAGTGATGGGCTCTCTTTTTATTTTCGAAGATGTTTATGTCCAGCAGTTTGTTCATTTCCAATGGATAAAGGATATGAATAATGGCTTGTTTCAGCAAATAGCTACAAATGCAAAAATAAATCACTTCTAAGGACCTTAAATGTCACGGGAAAAATCCCTTCTTGCCAAATGGAAAAGCTTTAGCAAGAGAGGCTTAGAAATAAAGAAATCAAAACTCCTTGTGAGCATTTACCAAAACACTGCTGTTCCATTAATTACAAAATTGTTAGTCAAGTTTTTATCTGAATTATTCTACAATTGTAGACCAGTTATAGCCAATTATAACATTTAGCCATATGGGGATGATTATGTTAAATGGATTGTTTTTCTAGTGCAATGATTTTAGAATCAATGGTCACTAAAGAAACAGAAATTGGAGGCCGTTCAGTCTTTGTATCAGGCTGCTTTCACATGAAACTACTTCTAGAAATACTTTCAGAATCGATTGGGTCAGTACACTTCTTTATGTTAAGGAAAGGGGTGTTTGCTTAGACATCTTGCAGCTTTTAGACAGAACATGAGTTACCTACTCGCTAAATACTGTGGAAAAAATAGCTTTTTCATTCCATGAGGTGGATGGGAATATTATTGTTATAATTCTTATTTTTAAAAGCTGCTAGTTTGATGGGAGGGTTGCTTTGGACTTCTAAGACTTGTTATGGCCAGGTTCTTAGAGTCCAAAGTACCGTGAATACAATGCCTTTAGAAGAGTTATCACTGAGCAAGTGCAAATTTTCCAATATTGCCTAAGTTTTGCTTGCTTCTTTTAGGGGAAAATATATCATGCAATGAGACAGCCCAAGAGAAGTGAGGCTGCTACAGCTCCGCTCCCCAGCTCCACCCAGCAGCGAGGCTGAAGAGGTATTCCCGGCGAGCACCCCCCGACACCACGCACACACAGCTGGCCACAGAGCGCTTGCAGAGACAGCCAGCACCGACAGCCTCGTCCCACTCCCCTCTCTGGCTGAGCAGGACGGAGGGCTGCTAGCCAGACCCATTCACGTCCGTGGCTCCCAGGCTATGCCACCTACTCGGCAGCTGGCCCGGCTTGATCCCTGACAGCGTTCACACACTCGCACACCTGCGCTCGGTCCAGGTGCTGGCAGCACAGGCACACGGGTCTCTTGACTCTTGGTGCCACCCCAGTGGCTGGCACTTGGTTTCGCTCTGGTCTTTCCAGCTGCTGGCACCTGGGCACACGGGTGCTCTTGCCCAGGATCCCAGGCCAGTTGCTGGCACCAAGACTCTCACTCACTCAGTTGCTGGTGCAACGGACACACAGGCCCCTGCGACCCACAGTGCCGCTTCCGTGGCTGGCCCTGACATTCGCTCACTCAGGTCTCTCCTGTCGCTGGCACCACAGACACCCGGGCCCTCTGATGCAGTGTCTTGACTCCGGTTGCTGGCACCCAGAACCCACCCACGCACACAGAACGGAGAGCCCTTCACCCAGGAAAGAGTTAGAACGCAGTTTAATATGAAGATACAATAGACTGCACTGATTAGAGACAGGGCATGGCTGGACAAATGTACCAACGAGCAAACTACTTAGACCTAAGTGGCCCTTTTATCCCCTTACCTCTCTATTTTCCCCACACTCGTTCCTCCCCAAATCACCTGAATTCATCCCTTCCTCCACCTTTAGTTCCTCCCCTAAACATCCCATAACAAGCCTCTTCCCCTGCATCCCGTAATGTGTCTCGCAGAGCTTTGGAGCAACTCCCCTCAGTCCAAAAGGTGCTTTAGTGTTAGCTCAATGTGATGGGTTTCCTGCCTGGACAATGGGGCTGAGGCTTTCCTGGGACAGCCCAGGGAGGGGCATGGACAGGGTGTCCCCTTGTCCAAGTCCAGAATTGCAGTTCCCCACCTGCCCCTGGGCTGGTGTAGATGGGCCTTTGATGGGCTGATGGATCCCGTGACAGGCCTGGGAATAGCTGGGGCAGGGTATTATTTCAGCTCCTCCTCCGCCTTTGTTTCCTGTGCTCGTTTGCGGGTGTGCATATGAACTTTTATGACTAACCCAACAGCTTCCTCTCAACAACCTGTGGCTGAATAAAATTAATACAGTTAGCTCTGTCCTTCTGATACACATACAGTGTTTAGATTGGAGTGACACAGAGTCATTTTTAGTGTAGGTAATAGTCTTTTAAAATGTGAGCAATATTCCATTCATTTATATATATTATATACATACATACTTTACATATATGTGTATAAACCAAAACATCTTTCTTCTGCAGAATACCAGAGCAGCTAAGAAAGAATGGCAATGTCATGATCCCACCTGACAGAGACAGGAATTCAGGCATTAGCCTATAATCTAACAGTTTATCAGCAACACCTTCAGCGCCCTCAGTGGTTCAGGTACTTTGCAGTAAGACTGGAGCTTTCCTAGGTTATCTTTAGCATTAGGAAGGTACTGTCGGATATACAGTTCTCATGTATACTAGGGAACACACAGTGGTTCTGCATTCAAGAGAAGAATACCCTCTTGCACCCCTCTTACCCATTTAAAATTTGTGCAGTCTCACAGCTGAG